TCAATTTTTTAAGTAATAAGATTAACTGTATATTTTATAGAGAACTGCATTACAAATATGTTTTCAACTATTTTTGTGGTATTTAAGTGTTATGTCAGTTCTTTTCATGTCATATAGCAATTGTCTCAAAATACTCTTTAGGGGAATAAGTCAGTTTATAGTCAGAATGGTTGACATTCTGGTGTTCTAAAAAAATTTATTTTGCATAATCCTGTAGTCAGATCATTTTATGCATATGTAGCTTGTGTTAAATTTCAAGTACTGTGTTGAGCACTAGTATATTTACTGTATGAATTTGTTTTGTTTTGATTTTTGTCATGTAGAACACGCCTTGGTCATCACAATGTAATCTGTCTGTGTTCTTTTTTCATGTTTACAGCCTTTAAATAAAACATTTAATATAAGTTCAAAACAAAAAAACCCAAAAACAAAAAAAACAAAGCCTTAACTTACATTTTGACCTTAACATATACCAAGTACATAAATTTGGAAACTTTTGATTATTATAAGGTCCATATTTTACCGTGTATGTAATCTTGATGTAATCCAATTATCATTATATTAAAAACAGTAATGTGCTGGTCTCTGTGCTTTTTTTATGTTTTTGTGTACATTAAATAGTCCAAAGTCTAGTAAAATCGGTGATAAATAACCACGTCAGCTTTAATATCCTATTTTGTCTCTTATGCAATATGAAGAACACAAACTGTGATGAAACTGAAGTGGAAATATATGCAAGGGCTGCAGACAACATAAGAATTGAAAATTCAAATGAACAGCACAGATAGTTGGAGTACAATCAGAAGCATAAAAAGAACAATTCATTATAGGAAGGCCAAATAAACAATCCAGAGGGAGAGGTCACAGAAATAAAAATAATGGTAGTTGTGAGGACAGCTATAAAAATGTCAGGCATACCTCTCTTTTACAACCAGGGAAATGAAATCCAGAAATACTTGATAGCTGAACAAGCTGATTTTCATAACGACAACCAATTTCAACCTAGGTGAAAATACACCGTCTAATGAATGATTTCACCTTCCTGAATGTTAAACACACTTACATTTCGGATTAAATAATTTGGTATATTAAAGCATATTAATTCACAAATATTTACATAATAATTCTGCTCTTCATTTATTAGGGTTTAAGTTAGTTTTCGTAACGTTTTCTCCTTAATTGTTGCACTTAAGAAGATACTGCAAACCATTCTGATAAATTTGCTTTCATATGTTTCTGCTTGTCGACCTATGTATATGCAGCCTTATGGTATCACCTGAAACAGATGAGGTTCATATCAAAATATAATAATTTCATAATTAGATTATGCCATTAGTCAAGAATTTTAAAACCTCAATATTGAAAAATACTGATTTTCTATACCTTTCTTCACTTAGAGAAAAATGCAAATATAATTGGAAAATAACCTGAAAGTATTGTAGAGTAGTTCTAATTCCTAGACATACAGTAGTCTCTTGATTTCTCAAACTACTATATGGAAATTATATTTATCAAATAGCTATTAGTAATTATTGATGAAGTATTCACTTATTGAAGAGTAAATGAAAATATGAAAGTGAAGCTTTTTTATATTTGCACTTTATTTGTAATGTAAAGGGAATTCTAGGCTCATGCCTTTCTTCATATTATATTTAAAAATTCCACAGATGGAAAAAGCAAAGACTAATCTTGTCCTAATGAAAACCTTTTATTTTCATTTCTTTCTACTGTTTTTTCCCCTAAATATCCAAAGAAAAAGAAAAGAGAGAGAAAATCTGGTAAGCTACACTAACGGCAATTACAGGAACACACACCCTTACCCATCTGTAAGTACAAGGCATTTGATTTGCAGGAGAAACGCGGTAGCCCTTTGTCCAAACTACTGCTCAAGTATATTAACGCCTGTCTTTTTTCCCTCTTTGTTAAACAAAATTTCTTACTGTCTAATAGGAAAGCATATTTCTATAGGGTAATTGTCTTTTATTCATTTTATTTATGTAATTATTTATGTATTTTTGTAGTCCTAGTGGAGATTGAAACCTGGGCACTCCTATCACTGAGCTATATCCCCAAACCTTCCCTAAGAATTATCTTGAGACAGAATCTCACTAAGTTGCTCAAGCTGGTCTTGGATGTTCAATCCTCCTGCCTCAGCCTTCCTAATAGCTAGGATTACACTCATGCACCATCACACCTCTATTAGCTTCTATACATTTAACCAATATGTTCAATTCATAAAACCAGGTCTTAGAAGGAATGGGAAATTGATGCTTGAAGCATTTCTAGTGTTCTTAACTCACTACAAGAGAATGGAAAAATAAATGAATTTTTATTCTACCAGAAGGCATGGCTAACAGGTCCAAAGTACCCCTGTGTGACTTAGAAGGTACCAGGCCAACCTCCAAGAAGGGTTGTGTATGTCCTGATTACTCTGGCTTCATCCTTTGACAAGATCAGAGCTGAACGAAGGGCTGGATGCCAGGTGCTCCGGGTACATTAACTCTGACATTTCTTTCTCAACTGATCACTTTATCTTACGTGCATATACAAATGCATGTACATAACCACGGAAGATGTGGAGCCTATAGTTTTCAACTTGTGTGCAAAGACCAGAAAGAAAATACATTTGGGTTTTTTTCGTTCCTTTTTTGTTATTTGCAAATGACCAAAATATCATCAATGCCCGAAATGGTTTCAAAGCCATACAATTAAAACAAAGTGAATGTTTGATGAGATTTTTGGAAAGCACAAATTCATGAATTAAAACCAAGGAGTTTTCACAGTAACTAACCACATATTTATCAATTTCGTTGCAATTTGACTATAATGAAGACTCAAGAATGCAAGAAGTTTTACATAGTGACACGGTACTTTAGAGCTGCACAATTTGATTCGCTAGTAGTACTTATTTATCCTGGTTTTACATTACTTAGCAATATATACTAATATCCACTATGTCCTAAGAATTAGCCCGGGGTTAAACTTTTATAATTCTCAGAACTAGTGATACTTCATTGATGTCTCATGAGAAGGTGTTATTTTTTTTACTGCCATTAATTTAAAATAAACAAACTCCCAAGAATGCATGCCCTACAGAACTAAAATTTCATTCCCAATTTCTCTTGTCTGCTTCTCAATTCATCGGCATTTCTCTCCATCTATCAGAATAATTTTGCCGAATCACATTTCAAAACAGACACTTTCAGGCGGTGTTGGGGGTCATGCACTCACAGCGTGGGGTTTCCGCAGCCCGCCCGGCCTCTCCACGGCCCGATCCCTCACAGCCGTCTTCGTCTTCATCGTCGCAGTCTCCACTGGCCTGCTCCGCCACACCCCCGCCACTGCCGGGTGCGAGCAGCTCCCACCTGTCAGGCTTGGGCGACCTCACCTGCAGCAACTAGACGTGGACACCGAGAAATGTTTTTGATAGCTAATTCAAGTCTTCTAAGAACGCTACTCAGAAACTTACGTTAGAAACTACAATTATTCTTTAAGGGTCCACTACCTTCATGCATAGACTTAACCCAATCAAAACTTCAAAATATTGAAAACAACTGAAATAATAATAAAGAACAGGCAAAGTTTTGTATCCGTAAAGAATACAAGCACCCCTTAACCCTACGTTAAGGCTCTGCAAAGCAAACACAATTAGGCCTTTTTGCTTATGGCAGTTTGGAAATCCTATTTCTTATTAAGCAATGTTGGTGTGTTTTGTAAATCGATAGTCCAGAATTTCTCAAAAATGTCTTTCCAGAAAAGAATTCTACCAAAAGAATCTAGAATTTTATAGCTCTGTTTAACCTATGTCGGGTCAAATACATAGTCACACGTAACAGATAAATGAATATTGGGACAAATTACGTAAGTCTTACTTGAATTTCTAGACATCATATTAGAAATTTAACTAACTTCTCAGTCATTTCATTTACATTTATGAGTAAAATAGAATAGCCATTTGTCCCACACAGCATAGGGATCCCGGTAATATTTTAATAATATTGGAAATAAGTGAACTTCTTTCCAAAAAGGTGATGGTATGAATAATAGAATATTTTACTGAAAGCTAAGTCTGAATAAAATAATCCAAACTGTGACATGTACTCCTCTAAGGCAGTTTTGGAGAACACATGACCAAGCGTAATGACTGCAGGGCACTGCTATATTATGAATGAAATATATGCCTGTTGACTACTTAGTGGATATTTAAATTCTCATGGTGCTTTATGAAATATTTAGGTTTGACACTTTTGCAACTTTCCAAAAAGTAGTTTCAATTTACAGATGGTAATTAAACACATAACCCAAAGATAGCATTTCCTATTGAAAAACATAGAGTGAAATAACCTCAGTACATCTAAGACACATATATTTAACATTTAAGAATACTTGGATTAAGTAACTGGACTTGGAAATTCATAAACTTCAAAATTAAAAAAATTAGGTCACACATTCTGAAATATTACAATTTTTAAAAAATTTAATTTAGACACATCAAAATGCTAAAGCGATTCGACAAAGATTTAAAATTTTTATTTGTGTTTCCCAGCAATTCTCATACATGCTATACATAGGTATTAAATTTAGGAAGAAGTGTTCTTCTGAGGTGATAGGAATTTAATAAATGTATGTTAAACAATGCTTCTGCACTGTGTTTGACACAATGATGTGTATAGTACTTTCTGGGAAATGACAACAGGTCTGCGGCAATGAGGAAACAGCTATATGTACCAACCACAAAAAATTCAAATATGAAAAAAGGAGAGTAAAAACAAACGGCTTTGTATTGTACTTTTTTATTTGTTATTTTGAAATATGCCATTTAACAAGTATTTACTATAATCATAAATGGATTGGACTCCAAAGTCTGACATACTTAGACACGAATCCTAATTCTGACACACACTAACTGTGAGACAGAAATATTAGTTAAATTACTGAACAACTGCACTCCACATCTAAAGTAAGGAAAATAATTTATGTATTTCATTGTTCATGTTCTGAGAAAAACATATGTGCTTTACAAAGCCTTAATGTGCCAGGGAATTAAAATTTAAAACATTTTGATTATTAATTTCCACTTTATTAAATATTCTATTAAAATATTATAAACACTCAGAACACATCGATTGAAAGAGTTATTTCATAGATAGTCCTATTACATGACTTACATTAAAATTTTTCAAAGTATAATCTGACAAGTACACCAATTTTCAACTCTCTGGTGATGTGTTGTTCCCTTTTTGACTCTAATATCCTTTTCCAATATTTTCCCATATCAACTTTTATTTTCCCTTTATTTCCCTGAGAATTCTTCTAGCATTTTAATGGGCTCTTAGCCAGGCCACAGATGGAATCTCAGGAACAACATCGACAATGTATGAACCATGAAGACTCAACCCAAAGTATTTGAACTCAAATATGCAAACAGAAATATAGTCCATGTAAAACAAAACTTACTATTTTAAGAAATCCATTTTAATTTAAGGTGATTGATTATATTCACTTATAGTGACTTGTAAAAAATAGATAATGTTTAAAAACACCTGTTTTCTACATTTCTCCATCACTTTAGTGACATTCTAGTATATATCTAAGGTACGTGAACTCAAGTTGTTAAGAAACAGAACTATAAAACTATTTTGTAATATAATTCAAATTATCTGTGTTGAGAAGATCTGATAAATGGACCTCAAGACTTTCCACTCTAATCCCTAGGTCTGTAAATATAAAATTATTTTACTACGATTACCTTACCTAGCAAATGGTATTTTGTAAATGTAACTAAGGTCATTAACAGCTGATTTGAAGTTTACTGAAAGTAAGATTGTCTGGGTAGGATTAAAGTAATCACACCTATTCCTTAAAAAACGAATGTTTTCTCCATCAGCAGAGTCAGGGCATTCAAAGCAAAAGGGCTTCATGGAGTTGGGTACTGGGGATCAACCTGCCAGTCTTGAAGGTGAAGCTGGCTGGATTTGTGACAAAGAGTTAGGCTGCTGGTCAACTTTAGGTTCCAAGAACAGGGTGATCTGCCTTCCTTCCAGCAAGGAACCTGGGCCCTCCTAGAAGCAGAACCTACACCTTGTGTCAAGTGTGGCTGACAACTTGATTTCAGCCTTGAGCAACTGTAGCAATGCGCCTGCTCAGATATCTGATCTCTAAAACTGTAAGGTAGTAAATGGTTGTTGTCTCAAGCTGATAAATGTGTGGTCATTTGCTATGCAGCAAGAGAAAAATAATAGAATCTCTAACTTCCAGTTGGCCCACACTTGTGTCTTGGAAATTTGGCTTCATATCTTTTGATTCTATCACACATTCTTCAAAACAAGAGGTCAAAATATTCATAAGACCACCCTATCTGTAAGATGGTACCCTCAGAAACAAACTGTTATATTTCAGCTCTGCACTAGTTTTAATTTACTCTGCCTCTCTATAAACCCTTTCATTGTTTTCCTTGTCTCTGAGCAAGATACATAATCATTGTTTCCTATGATCAACTCATCCAAATATAGATTCTGCCAAAAAAATAGTATACATCAGGAAAAGAAAAATTTGTGTAATTATTATACTAAATTTATTAAGAAATCATGAGATTAATACAAGTAACCTTTGGCCTTTACAATTACAAGAGGTACTCAAAGTGGTGCCCATTATCTTCCAGATATTTATTAGGACAGTGAACCGCTGAAGTGTGTATACATTTTTTTGGCAGGCTGTGCATCTAACATCCCAATTGACTCATGATTCAAGGTCTCCAACAATCCCCTCTCTCTGGTAGAGTCAATATCTCCCTTTCCTTTGCAAGTAAACTGTGCTTAATACACTTTATTTACTAATTTCACAGTGATTATAGGTCAAGAAATATATTTCATATTTATATTTTCATTCTCACAATTGAACTAGTTTTGCAAAGTTTCCCAGTGAATTGCTAATTACCAAAACCAATGGACTTTTCATAGAAAGATCTTTATTCTTATTCTCTTTCCTTTTTTTACTAAACTATTCTGACCTCTCTTTAGTCTGTTGATCTTTCTGCTCCACTTCATAAAAAATAATAAATGTGTTTCGGTGAAGAGAGTAAGTCCTCTTCATCGCAGCGTCTTTCAGGGAGTCAATCTGTCAGAAGAGTGGACCTATCCTCTTGCCTGTGTACAAATTACACTCTGTTCTTTATCTGCGGCCCTTTTTGCACTCCATAGTTCATCTGTAAGTGACTACTGGAGGTGAGGATGAACTCTCCCACTTTCTGTCCTGCAATGAAGTTCTTTGTCTCAAGGATTCCTAC